CCCCCCCCCCCCCCGAAACGAAATCCTGGCTACGGGCCTGGTGGGAGCTGAAGTGCATACAGCTCGGAAAACTAGCAGCAACCCAGGACCTGAGGGTGTTAGGAATGGTGGGTGTTGAAGTCCATACAGCTTGGAAAAATCACAGCAACCCAAGGCCTGAGGGTGTTAGGAATGGCGGGAGTTGAAGTCCATAGAGCTTGGAAAACTCACAGCAACCCAGGTGCTGAGGGTGGCAGTAATGGTGGGATCTGAAGTCCATTCAGCTTGGAAAACTCACAGCAACGCAGGACTTGAGGCTGATAGGATTGGTGGGAGTTGAAGTCCATACAGCTCAGAAAACTCACAGCAACCCAGGGCCTGAAGGTGTTAGGAATGGTGGGAGCTGAAGTCCATACAGCTTGGAAAACTCACAGCAACCCAGGCCTTGAAGCTGTTAGGAATGGTGGGAGCTGAAGTCCATAGAGCTTTGAAAACTCACAGCAACCCAGGCCTTGAGGCTGTTAGGATTTGTGGGAGCTGAAGTCCATACAGCTTGGAAAACTCATAGCAAGTCAGGCCTTGAGGCTGTTAGGAATTATGGGCGTTGAAGTCCATAGAGCTTGGGAAACTCACAGCAACCCAGGGTCTGAGGGTGTTAGGAATGGTGGGCGTTGAAGTCCATACAGCTCAGAAAACTCACAGCAACCCATGTCCTGAGGGTGTTAGGAATGGTGGGAACTGAAGTCCACACAGCTCGGAAAACTCATAGCAAGGTAGGCCTTGAGGCTGTTAGGAATGATGGGTGTTGAAGTCCATACAGCTTTGAAAACTCACAGCAACCCAGGTCCTGATGCTGTTAGGAATGGTGGGCGTTGAAGTCCAAAACACCTGGAGGGCCCAAGTTTGCCTATGCCTGTGCTACACAGTACAATACATCCAACACTGTACAATGAATGCAGTTTGACCCCACTTTAACTGTCATGACTTAATGGAATCATTGGGAGTTGCAATTTGTTGAGGCCCCAGCCCTCTTGGGCGGAGGTGGCTTGCAAAACTACAACTCCCACCATGCCAGGATTGCATTGAGGCACGAGTGGTGTCAAAATGGCATGGATTCTACATTGTAGATACTAGAAACAACCAAGAAAGGTCTGTGGGGCTCCTGGAAGGCTGATCCCCAAGTTTGATCTCAGAGGGAGTGATGAGATCCTGGGTGGGGAGGGCACGGGTGGCAGCAGGGAAAGGGAGGAGGAGGAGGAGGAGGAGGAGAGGGGACAGCAAGCGGGCTCTGTGATGATTCTTTCGCTCTGTTTCCTGCTTTCTGCTGCGTGTGCAGCTCGGTGTGTGCTGAGCTGATCGGGAGCAGGAAACTGGAGCTGGAAGTGGAAGGCAAGGCGAGAGAGGGAAGGAGGGAGGAGGGAAGGAAAGAGGAGGCGACAGTAGGCCAGCCAAGCAGCCTAGGCGGCAGGGAGAAGCTCTCTTGGTTGGACCCCTTTATTTTGGGGGGTCCCGGGGGAGGTGTGTCGGGGCCCCCAAAGGGGAAGCCACCACGTGGGTTTGGCCAGCCGAGCCTGACGGTGGTGTGAGCCTGAAGGAGGAGGGAAGGAAGGAAGGAAGGAAGGAGAGGGGAGGAGGGAAAGAGGTGGAGAGGGAGCAACAAAAGAGGGGAGGGGGAGAGGAGAAGCGAGCCAGGCCAACCTCTCCCCCCTCCACGGCCCCACTTCTGCTCCATCGCCCTCCATCGCCCGGCTCTCTTCGGGATGGACCGCCGTTCTGCCAAGAGCTGGGGGGCCAGGTGAGTCCGAGATGCTCCCCAGGAATGGAGGGAGGGAGGGAGGGAGAGGGATGCTGGCCTAAGGCAGCCTTTGTGCATACTGTACACACAGATTGGGTTGGCAAGGGGTCCCTCTCTCCCGCCCAGGAATGGGTGCTGCTTCCGAAGGGGAGGGGGGAGGGAAGAAAGGAGAAGATCTGACCCCCCCCCCCCACACCTCCCCCTATCCAAATCGAGGGGGCATCCAGCTGTTGGCTTTGTGGCCTCGGCCCAATGCCTGAATCGAGAAGAGAGCTTGTTTGGGAAGCCTCCCTCCCATTGGTTTGGGATGGAGACTCTCCTTGAGCTCTGCCCCCCCCCCCCATTGCCAACCATATAACTCATCTTGGACTCTCCTACCTATCTGACTCCATATGACTCCCATTGGCTTCTTCCCATATGACTTCACATGAACTTTCCCTCCTCATCTAGTTTTGGACTCCCCCCACATGTGACTCCCCAGTACCCCCAGTACCTCTTCCATCCCATCTTGTTTTCCACTCCCCCCCCATAACTACTTTGGGTTCTGGACCCCCATGTCTGGTCTGGAGCCATAGTCTCTCCACCCCATATGACCCCCTTGGGTTCTTCCTCCCCATCTGTTTTGGACCAGCCCATATGACTCCCCTTTGGGTTTCTCTCTCCATGTAGCTTGAAAACCCCATATCACCTCTCTTGGGTTCTCCCTCTCCATCTGGTTTGGACCCCCCCCTCCCAATGTGACTCCCCAGTACCTTTTCCATCCCATCTTGTTTTCCTCCCCCCCCCCCATAACTACTTTGGGCTCCAGACCCCCATGTCTGGTCTGGACCCATAGTCTCTCCTCAGGTTTGGACCACTCCATATGACCTCCTTGGGTTCTTCCTTTCCATCTGGTTTGGACCAGACCATATGATTCCTCTTTAGGTTTCTCTCTCCATGTAGCTTGAAAACTCCATATCACCCCTCTTGGGTTCTCCCTCCACATCTGGTTTGGACCCCCCCCCCCGCCACATGTGACTCCCCACCACCTCTTCAATCCCATCTTGTTTTCCCCTCCCCCCACCATAACTACTTTGGGCTCCAGACCCCCATGTCTGGTCTGGACCCATAGTCTCTCCTCAGGTTTGGACCACTCCATATGACCCCCTTGGGTTCTTCCTCCCCATCTGGTTCGGACCCCCCCCCCTCCACATGTGACTCCCCACCATCTCTTCTATCCCATCTTGTTTTCCCCTCCCCCCACCATAACTACTTTGGGCTCTGGACCCCCATGTCTGGTAGGGACCCATAGTCTCTCCTAAGGTTTGGACCACCCTATATGACCCCCTTGGGTTCTTCCTCCCCATCTAGCTTGAAAACCCCATATCACCCCTCTTGGGTTCTCTCACCCCATCTGGTTTGGACCCCCCATATGACACCCATAAGCTTCTTCCTCCCCATTTGACTTCACTTGAACTTTCCCTCCCCATCTAGTTTTGGACCCCCCCCCCCATGTGACTTCCCACTACCTCTTCCATCCCTTTCCCCCCCTCCCCACATAACTACTTTTGGGCTCTGGACCCCCACATCTGGTTTGGATCTGTATTTTCTCCTCGAGTTTGGATCACCCCGTATGACCCCCTTGGGTTCTTCCTCCCCATCTGTTTTGGACTAGCCCATATGACTCCTCTTTGGGTTTCTCTCTCTATCTAGCTTGCAAACCCCCATATGACCCATCTTGGGTTTTCTCTTTTCATCTGGTTTGTACTCCCCCCCCCCTTTACTTCCTCTTGGATTCTCCCTCCCTATCCACACCACCCCCCCTCCCCCCCCGCCCCCCCCCCCTCCTCCCCCCCCCCCCCCCCTCCACCCCCCCACGTCGCCCAGCAGCCAGCCAGGGCCCCCCCGAGAGACCCCCGGGGCCCTGGGACCTGCCCCCCCTCCCCCCCCCCCCCGCGCCCCTCCCCCCCCCCCCCCCCCCAACCCCCCCCCCCACCGCCCCCCCCCCCCTCCCCCCCCCCCCACCCACCCCCCCCCCCCACCACCCCCCCCCCCCCCCTTCCCACCCGTCCCCTCCCCCCCCCCACACCCCCCACCCCCCCCCCCCCCCCCCCCCCCCAACCCCCCACCCCCCCCCCCCCCCCCCCCCCACCCCACCCCCCCCCACCCCCACCCCCCCCCCCCCGCCGCACCAATTGCCACTCCCCCCCCCGCCCGCACCCCCCCCCCCCCACCCGCCCCCCCCCCCCCCCCCTCCCCCCCTCCTCCTCCATCTCCTCCCATCTCCTCCTCCATCTCCTCCTCCATCTCCATCTTCTCCTCCTCTCTCCATCCCCACCCCCCCCCCCTCCCCCCCCTCCCCCCCCCCCTCCCCCCCCCCCCCCCCCCCCCCCCCCCTCCCCTCCCCCCCCCCTTTACTTCCTCTTGGATTCTCCCTCCCTATCTGCTTTGGACCCCATATAATTCCTTTTGTTCCCCCCCCCCCCAAGATTGATTTCCACCCCCATTACTCCCATTGGCTTCTTCCTTCTCATATGATTTCATTTGAACTTTCCCTTCTCATCTAGTTTTGGACCCCCCCCCCCATGTGACTGCCACTACCTCTTCCATCCCATCTTGTTTTCCCCTCTCCCCATAACAACTTTTGGGCTCCGGACCCCCACATCTGGTCTGGACCCGTAGTCTCTCCTTTAGTTTGGACCACCCCATATTACCCCCCTTGGGGTCTTCCATCTGTTTTGGACCAGCCCATATGACTTCCCTTTGGGTTCCTTTCTCCACTTAGCTTGAAAACCCCCACATCACCCCACTTGGTTTCTCCCTTTCCTTCTGGTTTTCATTCCCCCCTTTAATTCCTCTTGGATTCTCCCTCCCCATTTGCTTTGGACCCCATGTAACTCCTTTTGGGTTTTCTTCTCCCCCCCCCCCCAAATCTGGTTTGGACTCCCATTGCCTTCTTCCTCCCCATATGACTTCACATGAACTTTCCCACCCATTTTTGGGCTTTTGGGCTCCAGACTCCCACATCTGGTCTGGACCCATAGTCTCTCCTCGGGTTTGTACCACCTCATATGACCCCCTTGGGTTCTTCCTCCCCATCTGTTTTTGACCAGACCATATGACTCCCCTTTTGGTTTCTGTTTCCATGTACCTTGAAAACCTCATATCACCCCTCTTGGGTTCTCCCTCCCCATATGTGTTACTAGCTATCCCCTGCCATGCGTTGCTGTGACCCAGTGTGTGTCTGTTTATTTATATATGTATTTATGTGTTACTAGCCATCCCCTGCCATGCGTTGTTGTGACCCAGTCTGTGTATATGTGTTTTGTGTGTGTATATATGTGTGTGTATTTGTGTATATATGTGTGGTTTTTGCGATACGCTGTAATGTATTTTTTGTTTCTTTGGCTTTGTAAGTCTCCTCTGCTGTGTTTTTCAGTGTTTTTAGGAGTGATGTTCACTCATTGGCCTGAGAGGGGTATTGTGTCCAAATTTGGTGTCAATTTGTCCAGTGGTTTTTGAGTTATGTCAATCCCACAAACGAACATTACCTTTTTATTTATATGGATGGCATGATATGTGCCGTTTTGTAAGCACATATCATGGTGGCAGGATATAAATAAAGTTGTTGTTGTTACTGTTGTTGTTATTTCCTTCCCATCTGAACCCCCATGACTCCTTTTGGTCGCTCCTCCCCATCTCATTTTGACCCCCCTTCACATGACTCCTCTTGGACTCTCCCCATCTAATTTGGACCCCCTTCCCCCTTTTCACTCTCTTGCCTTGGCATGTTATTCACAACTGCTTCCTTTGCCATTGTGCCCCTCAGAAGTTATAAGGTCTTGTGGTACATCTCTGGAATTGCTTTCCGGCCTGACTCCTCCTCATGCCATTAGCAAACCCCCTCTTCAGCAAGCTCCTCGCATCTGTTGACTCTCCCCAACACCATGCCCTCTCCCTCCACTTCCCTCTCCATCTTATGTGGGGGGTACAAGCCATCCTCTGAATCTCCCCTATTCTACTCATTCCAGTTGCAAGGTCTCCCCAGCCACGTCCAGCTCTTTCTTGTCCTGACTCCTAATTTCCTTCCCAACTAATTGCTTTGCTTGCATTTTTCCCCAATCTCCTCCCTTCTATGATACTTCCTACTAACCTGCAGTCCTCTCTCTGTTTACTGTTTTCCCTCCCTGTTCCTGATTTTGAAGGGTCTCTTGCATTCCTAGCTCCAGATTCTCCACTTCGAGCTTCCCCCTCTTTCCTTACAACTTTCCCCCTCTTCTCTTACTAGGCTGCTATCTGCTAAGGACTCTGCACCCACATTCCCGCTGTTTGTTGGCCTTTCCATCTGCTCCCGTTTCCTTTCTACTCCTACCACCTTGACGCCCCGTCTCACACCGTCTTGGTGTGGATGCCTCCCCATTTCCCATCATTTCGCACTTGTCTTTCTTGGGGATTGCTTTCTACTTCCCATAACCGCCCCATTGTATTGTGTGGTTGTCCCTGTATTTTTTCTGTGCTGGTTGCATTACCCCCCCCCCCCCCAATGTCAGTTGTGTCCTTAAGCAACCCTACTGTTTATTGATCCCTTTGAGTCAGGATTTGTTCCTTGCCCATCTAATCTGTCATATCTTTATTTATTTATTTATTTACAACACTTATATGCTGCCCTTCTCACCCCGAAGGGGACTCAGAGCAGCTTACAAGATATATATACATACAATATATTACATTATTAGCATAGTACAACATCAGTATTATATATTACTATACTAGCCGTCCCCTGCCATGCATTGCTGTGGCCCACATGGGGGTTCTGTGTGGGAGGTTTGGCCAAATTATTTCGTTGGTGGGGTTCAGAATGCTCTGTGATAGTAGGTGAACTATAAATCCCAGCAACTACAACTCCCAAATGTCAAGATTCTATTTTCCCCAAACTCCACCAGTGTTCACATTTGGGCATATTGAGTATTCTGTGTAGAGTTTGGTCCAGATCCATCATTGTTTGAGTCCACAGTGATCTCTGGATGTAGGTGAACTACAACTCCCAAACTCAAGGTCAATGCCCACCAAACCCTTCCAGTATTTTCTGTTGGTCATGGGAGTCCTGTGTGCCAAGTTTGGTTCAATTTCATCGTTGGTGGGGTTCAGAATGCTCTTTGATTGTAGGTGAACTATAAATCCCAGCAACTACAACTTCCAAATGACAAATTTTGAGTGAAGGACATACATTGGGTTGTTAGGTATCTTGTGTCCAAATTTGTTGTCAATTTGTCCAGTGGTTTTTGAGTTCTGTTAATCCCACAAACGAACATTACATTTTTATTTATATAGATTGTACTATACCATTATATTGTAATATTATTAGTAATATAATTATAAAATATATAATTATAATATCTTGGGATTGGAGGCAACTTGGGAAGTCATGTCTCTCCACTTAGAATCATAGAATCATAGAGTTGGAAGAGACCTCATGGGCCATCCAGTCCAACCCCCTGCCAAGAAGCAGGAATACTGCATTCAAATCACCCCTGACAGATGGCCATCCAGCCTCTGTTTAAAAGCTTCCAAAGAAGGAGCCTCCACCACACTCCGGGGCAGAGAGTTCCACTGCTGAACGGCTCTCACAGTCAGGAAGTTCTTCCTCATGTTCAGATGGAATCTCCTTTCTTGTAGTTTGAAGCCATTGTCCGCGTCCTAGTCTCAAGGAAGCAGAAAACAAGCTTGCTCCCTCCTCCCTGTGGCTTCCTCTCACATATTTATACATGGCTATCATATCTCCTCTCAGCCTTCTCTTCTTCAGGCTAAACATGCCCAGCTCCTTAAGCCGCTCCTCATAGGGCTCGTTCTCCAGACCCTTGATCATTTTAGTTGCCCTCCTCTGGACACATTCCAGCTTGTCAATATCTCTCTTGAATTGTGGTGCCCAGAATTGGACACAATATTCCAGGTGTGGTCTAACTTAAGTTCCGTAGCTGAAGAAAGGCGGGATCCCAGTATGCTAAATACATATAATGAATTATGAACAAACAGTTGCAACCAAATCTCCTTGACCCGTAGATTTTTTTTCCCATCACCTATTCGTTTCCAGGGTTCATTTCTCCACCTAGTCAACCTGTCTATCAAATTGGTCCCATTGTCTTCTGTGACAGTTTGCTCCCTCCGCAGCAAATCCTAACTCTTCTTCCATCCCTCCCTCCCCCATATCCTTCTCCCCCATAAGTGCTTCATGAAACGGTGCAGACTGGAGTCCAAGCTTACCCTTCAGAACCTGATTTGTGAAGCAATAATAGAGAAGAATGCCTCTGGGTACAAGCAGAGTACATTTCTCCTCGCCACTCAGGCACTACTTCCCCCTCCCCAAGTTCTTTCCCAGTTTACCAAGTAGGCTGCTAGGTTTAAGATATGTATACTACCCATTTTGTTTCTCTGTGGTGCTGTACATGTGAGAGTGGGGTAAAAATAGAAAAATAAAGATTCTGGTACAAAACATTCAGCTCTCTATCGCAGCATCTTTGTTCCCTTCTGTTGCAAGGTTATGTCGCCAAAGCCTATCACACATCAACGGAATGTTTTGTATTTGGATCCTTATTTCCTATTTCCCCCCCAAACCCTCATATTTTGGTCTCCAACTGTCATATGGCTTCCAGATCGTATCTGCCTTCAGCTAAATGCTTCTGTTATCCTTCCCGTGGCAAGAGTGGACCCTGACTGCTCTTACCACGAGGCCACGGTGAAGTATTGCGCATAGCTAAATTGTGGGATTCAGTACCACCAGATGTAGTGATAGATGTGAGCTTGAATGGATTTAAAATGGGACTAATAAGGCAGATTGTGGAGGGGGAGGCAATTAATGGCTGTCGTGATGTGCTTTTGAAGTTGTCTTAGTTCAGACTGTTTTTAAACTGTACTTGTTTTACTCATTTAATTAGCCACATTAAGTCTCAGTTGGGGAGAAAGACAGGGCAAAACAAAACTAAATGCATTATTTCTAGTGGCAGAGAGAATCCTGTATATCCGTGATGGTGAACCTATGACATATGTGTCAGCAGTGACACACATAGCCATTTTTGATGACACGTGGCTGCATACAGAGAAGTTTAGGACTGCATGCTGAGAAGGACATTTCATCCTTGGCTTCTGCGCGGCCAGGTGCAGAAGCTGAGGATGAAACATTTGCTGTAGTGTAGTGTAGACACTCTGTGCTGGAGGTCTGTAAGCAAAAACAACAGAACTCTGGCACAGAGCATCTATTTCTGGGACTTCCAGTGAGGACGTTTGGGGATCTTTGACCTCACTACCAGCCGGCGGAGCAGGGAGTAGCGGAATGCCGCGGTGGACGCATCTCTGGGGGCCCTGTGATCATCATTACCAGCAACCACATAACCACAGCAACCATCATCCAATCTACTGTTCTGGGTTGTCATGAATTTCTAATTCCTCCGGGGAGGCCCTGCTCTCCATCCCACCATTGTCACAGGCGCCATTGGTGAGGACGAGAGACAGGGCCTTCTCGGTGATTGCCCCCTGGCTATGGAACTCCCTTCCTGGTGAGATCAGATCGGCCCCCTCCCTCCTGTCCTTCAGAAGGATGGTAAAAACTTGGCTGTGGGACCAAGCTTTCGGGACAGGGCAATAAAGCAGCAATAGGAAAGATTACCAGGCTAATTAGATTTGATGCAGATGACCAAGACGGTTTTAAAAGGTGTATATTAATATTGAGATAAATGCTTTTAATGTTTATGTATGCATATATGAATTCTTGTCCTGGCATTGAATGTTTGCCGTATATATGCTGTGCTCTACCCTGAGTCCCCTTCCGGGTGAGAAGGGCAGAATATAAACGTTTAAAATAAATAAATAAATAAATAATTGACAATCATTATTGAGATAAGTTGGGGGGGGGGGGGTGCTGGGAGAGGCGAAGGCCTGAGTTATGGGTGCCATTTCCCGCCATATATTATAATTATACATTTTTAAAATTTAAACTATAAATATCACGAAATTATAATTTTTTTGGAAGTGACACCCCACTCGAGTTATGCTTGGGTTTTTTTGGCGAATTTTGACATAACAAGCTCAAAAGGTTGCCCATCACTGCCGTATACCATTGCCTATGAGAACAACACCATGCCCTGTTGTGGGGTGCTTATGGCTTTACATGGAGTAGTTGGTTGGTCATTGTGGGGACAAAATATGAAAACAAGGATGTTATAATACTCATGCACTGATTTAGGTTTGTCATAGGGGGATTTGGCTGTGGGAACCTGACACTAAACTTTGGTCTGGTTTGTATACCTCATTTTATGCTCTTTCGTTAATGGATAAGCAGCTGCCGTTGCATGAATTTTGGATGGCTTTGGGAAAGGCAAACTGTCTGAATTTTGGGTTCCAGTCCTCTCAAGTGTACTCCTCTCTGAAATGATTTGAGAACTGTGAAATAACATCCCTGCAATCTATTTATCTGTAAACCACGTGGAATCGCAGAAGCAAGCTGGACTATGAGCTTACCATGCACCAACAGTCTTTTTCCTTCTTGTATGCAGATAGGCTCGTGTTACTACAGCGATCATTGGACTTCAGTTTGGGGTTACCAGTGGTCCTTACAGGGCTCAGCAGGTTACTCCTGAGACTGTGATACAAATGGAAAAGGACTTATTGAAAGGTGAAACTTCTCAATGTTGAATGGTGTTATTGCATGCCCGAGAGATAACCTATTTTATAATGTTTCTTGTTGAGGGCCTTGAAGTTGTTTCTCACTTACGGCAACCTTATTGGAAACTTATCTTTTGATTTTCTTGGCAAGATTTGGTCAGTGGTGGTGGTGGGGGTGTTTGCCTTTGCTTCCTCTGAGGCTGAGAGGATGAGGCCTTCCCCAAGTAAACAACACAATTCCTAGAGCAGTGGTTCTCAACCTGTGGGTCCCCAGATGTTTTGGCCTTGGACCCAGAAATATTAACAGCTGGTAAATTGGCTGGGATTTCTGGAAGTTGTAGGCCACAACACCTGTGGACCCACAAGTTGAAAACCACTGTCCTAGAGTATTAGGTTTGAGTATGGGTCCCCAGGTGTTTTGGCCTACAACTCCCAGAAATCCCAGCCAGTTTACCGGCTGTTAGGATTTCTGGGAGTTGAAGGCCAAAACATCTGGGGACCCACCTGATGAGAACCACTGATCTAATGGGTTTCCGTGAGCGAGTAAGGATTTGAATCCTGGTTTCTAGAGTCATAGTCGACTGCTGGAACTATTTCCTCTTGCTGACTCTCACTTCTCAGTGTAATTGTGGTAATTTTGTACAGAAAGGCAGCCTGCCTCTTCAGCAGTGGAAGTGCTTGGACTAGAATTGTAAACAAAAATTTTAAATGGCTCAGCTATCTGCATGTCTCTTTCTATACACATGTTGTATAGTTTCATTGATCATGACCCCATAAGAGAAACAGAACAATTACAGCTTAATGTGCAGTTCGATCTTTGCCACTTAGTGGTTACAACTGCAATCTGCAGAAATAATTTTTTTTTTTGGCCATGTATTCTTCTCTCAGACGGAGCTCTCTGTTCCAAAGGGGTTCAAGCCAATCTACCTGACAGTTTTAAATGTAGTTTGCCTTATACCTGCTCCGGTGGGAAGGTAACAGTGCTCCATGCAGTCATGCTGGCTACATGACCTTGGAGGTGTCTACGGACAACGCTGGCTTAGAAATGGAGATGAGCACTAACCCCCAGAGTTGGACACGACTGGATGTAATGTCAGTTTACTAACCTTTACCTTTACCTTTACTTGCCTTATACATGTTGATGCCTCTCTCACATGGTCCATTTTGAATCCTTCTGGAGAGAAATTGGTGAACAGATGCTCACAAATGTTTCCTCTTCATCCTGGAAAGAAGTGATGAGTGGAGTGCAGTGGTATTCTGTCCTGGGCCTGGTTCTGTTCAACATCTTTATTAAGGGTTAGAAGGCAGGATCGTCAAGTTTGCAGATGACACCTAATTGGGAGGGATAGCCAATGCTCCAGAAGACAGGAGCCAGAATTCAAAACAATCTTGATGGGCCAAAACGAACACAATGAAGTTCAACAGGGACAAATGCAAGATACTCTACTTAGGCAGGAAAAAATGCAAAGAGACAGAATGGGGAACTCCTGGCTCGATAGCAATACGTGTGAAAAAGATCTTGAAGTCCTCATGGACAACAAGTTAAACAAGAGCCAACAATGTCATGCGGTGGCTTTAAAAGCCAATGGTATTTTGGACTGCATACAGTGTCTAGATCCAGGGAAGTCATGCTCCCTCTATTCTGCTTGGTTAGACCACACCTGGAATATTGTGTCCAATTCTGGGCACCACAATTCAAGAGAGATATTGACAAGCTGGAATGTGTCCAGAGGAGGGCGACTAAAATGATCAAGGGCCTGGTGAACAAGCCCTATGAGGAGCGGCTTAAAGAGCTGGGCATGTTTAGCTTGAAGAAGAGAAGGCTGAAAGGAGATATGATGAGGGCCATGTATAAATATGTGAAGGAGAAGTCATAATTATTGTTTAGCATTTTTACTTGATGTCATTGTCTGTTTTGTATGTATTTTATTTTGCCTTATTGTAACTGCCTGGGCTTGGCCCCATGTTAGCCACGCCGAGTCTCTTCAGGGAGATGGTGGCAGGTTATAAAAAAGTTATTAAAAAGTTATTATTATTATTATTATTATTATTTATTAAAGGGAGGTGGGAGCAAGCTTGTTTTCTGCAGCCCTGGAGACTAAGACGCAGAACAATGGCTTCAAAAGGAGACTCCACCTGAACATTAGGAAGAACTTCCTGTGAGAGCAGGAAAATCGCATTCAAAGCACTCCCAACAGATGGCCATCCATTCTCTGTTTAAAAGCCTCCAAAAGGAGCCTCCCTCTACCACACTCCGGTAGAGGGAGGCTCCTTCTTTGGAGGCTTTTAAACAGAGGATGGATGGCCATCCATCCTGCTTCTTGCAGGAAGTTGAACTGGATGGCCCACGAGCTCTCTTCCAACTCTATGATTCTATTAAATGCGGGGTATAAACCTAACAATTATAATCCATTCCTTTTGGCAACCAGATTGCTAAACTTGTCTTCTTAAGGAATTAATAAAAATTAAGGAAAATTACTACAAAACGATATGGAGATGGTATCTAACTCCCATTAGATTAAATCAGATTGATAAAAAATACTCAAATCAGTGTTGTCAGGAAATAGGGACTTACCTTCATATTTGGTGGTTATGTAAAATTATACAAAAAAAATGGGAAAGTATATTTAAATAAATAAGAGCAATAATGAAAATAGAGATTGAGATTACACCAAAATTAGTATTATTACTTATACATGATAATTTAATTCCCTTATAAGAGGAGAAAGAATTGGTTTCTAATTTGATAACAGCAGCTAATTTGTTAATAACCATAAACTGTAAAGAAAAAAAAGAAATTCAATTAGAAGAATGGTATAGGGAAATTTGGAATATAGCGATTAATGATAAGCTAACTTGCAATATTAAAATTAAAAGGGGAATATGTAAACAAACAGACTTTTGGAAAATATGGGGAAAATTGATTGAGTAGGAAGATAAGGGCTAGGTGATAGGGGATCCAGTGTGGGACTGTAGTTTGAGTGTTGGGCTATTATTCTGGAAACTGGGGTTCAGATCCCTGCTTGGCCATGGAAACCCACTGGGTGATCCTGCGTGAATCATGTTCTCAGCCTCAGAGGAAGACAAAGGTAACTCCACTCTGAACAAATTTTGCCAACCCCCCCTCCCATGATAGTATGTTAAGCTGCAGTGGTGTTAAGCTGCAGTGTTTCTCAACCTGTGGGTCCCTAGGTGTTTTGATCTACAACTCCCAGAAATCCCCACCAGTTTACCAGATGTTAGGATATCTGGGAGTTGAAGGCCAAAACATCTGGGGACCCACAGGTTGAGAACCACTGCCTTATCATAACATGTGAAGGTCCTCAACAAAAAAGTGAGATGCAAAACAGTGGTCTTGAGTGCAGTGTGTTTAACGTCCCTCAAGGTAGTTTATGCAAAGACACAGCCGTATTGTGTACTTTTAAGTCACCCACATTATTTGACTGTGCCCTCTATTGATTGAGTCTCTACAGTAGTAGATAGAAAAGGAATTCTTATAGGTACTCTTAAAACATAATTAAACAACTCCAACAGTTTTGTTCTGTTTAGATGAAGTGGAAAGGCACATGTGCCCATATTCTCCTGCGTAGGTTTGCAAATAGAGATTTCTCGCATATTGTAAGAGCCTCGTAACAATGAAACTTGTATCCACAATTTCACTTACCTGCATGCAGGGAGGGGAAACTGCCTGTCTCCAAAATTTACTATAGAGTTGCCCTAGCAAAACATTAGGAAGAATACATGTCTAGGAATTTCTAGATCCTCCAGGGTGAATCTGTAGGATGTTGGGACTGGAGGTCAAGTAATTTCACAAATTTGGACATACCTGCAGTTTCAGGTAAATGTTATCTTGCCAGGAATATATCCCATACGGGTATTGGGGGGTGTCTTAGTGTACACATTTTACATATTAAATGTATTATTTATGCACAATATTTGAAAGTTTCCCTGAAAATACCATAGGTAAGGCAGTTTTTCTACCAACTTCATCATGCAGTCAATTGCTTGCAGTTTCTTCTTACTCTTGCTTACCTTTTAATTGTAAAATGTAAAGTTTCTAGCCTTTACGTCTATTAATATACATTCAGATTACCAAGTCCAGTAGTTTCTTAATGGTATAAGACAGCAAAGCAGCAAGCTTTAGAAAACCTATTCGTTTGAACTATATTCACCATGCTGTTTGAAGGAGATATACTGTTTGAAGGAGACATACTGGATTCATGTATAAGTCCACAACTTTTAATATAAAATCAATCACATAAATGTATTGTCAAAGGCTTTCATTGCAAGAATCACTGGATTGTTGTAAGTTTTTCAGGCTGTATGGCCATGTTCCAGAAGCATTCTCTCCTGACCTCACAACCTTTGAGGATGCTTGCCATAGATGCAGGCAAAACGTCAGGAGAGAATACATCTGGAAAGTGGCAATACAGACCAAAAAACTTAAAACAACCTAATCCCAGAAATCTTGGTTGAGTGTCCATGGACTGATGTAAGTATTGTACATGTAAGTATTTCATGTCAGGAGCCACTTGAGAAACTGCAGGTTGCTTGTTGTGTGAGAGACTTGGCCATCTGCAAGGACATTGCTCAGGGGACGCCAGGATGTTTTACCACCCCGTGGGAGGCTTCTTTCATGTCCCCTCATGAGAAGCTGGAACTGACAGATGGGAGCTCACCTCGCTCCCTGGATTTGAACTGTCAACCTTTTGGTCAGTAGTCCTACCAGCACAAGGGTTTAACCCATTGTGCCACTGGGGGCTCGAGTATTGTACCTGAACTCCTATAAAAAAGAAACCATCCCGTTCTCTGAGTAGCATGGCAAATGGTGAGAGTTTAATTTGCTCTAGGATAGGGATGCCCAACCTTTTGGGGGGTTTTTTTTTTTGTCACATTGGAAGAGGAAGAATGATCTTGGGACAAACATAAAATACGCTAGCACTGTTAACTGATGAGCAAAAATGGTCTGTGCATAATTTCTGTGATATTCGCCACCACAGATAAGTAAAA